AAACTGAGCTTTGAGAGTTCAGTCCCAAAATTTTTGTTCATTAATGCAAAATAACCTTTTATATAGATTTCAGTATAAAAAAATTACAAATATCACTTTTTATTTTTTTGATATCAAATGGACCCATAAATCAATTTAATTCAGCCTAGCTTTCTATGGAGCTGTTATGAAAACAAAATGGTAAACTTAAACTGGAAATGGGGTAGATCTTTCTCTAAACATATGTTTGCTGGTGGCATGTTTTTCCTCTTTTTCCATAACCATTGCAAATGTATATATGACACATGACAAATTAAATTTTTCTGAGAATCACTTACTCAACTGTTTTTTCATAGGAAACAAGGCAACAAAAGGCCACACATTTCACATAAATTGCTCCACTGCATGTAACAATGGTTCTACATGATGGCTAGTGCCAATTGCTTTAACCTACATGAATGTGAAACCTGGCCTGGTTAATAGCATGTTTGTTATAATTCTGAAATAAGCAGTTTTAGCAGAGCCGAATATAATACCAAGTTGACATTTGCAACAACTTTACATTTTTTGCTTGCAATATTCTTAGGGGCTTCTTCCATTGCTTCCATGTTGCTTGCTGGTGGGGGGTGGGGGGGCAGGGGAGGAGGGAGAATTCCATGCACAAATGGAATTTTTAAAAAATATGTAAGCATCAAATGTGAATGTGTGTCAGACAAACTGAGATTTCCAGCATCTTGGTGCTTGCTTTTGACAGCTTGGAAGTATAACCACAAGCCCAGTTTCATTTGGATTTTGATGGAATTCACTTGAATTCACATATGATCCATTTCCCTACTCATAGGCCCTTAAGGATGATGATGCTGAAACCGGATTGACTGATGGGGAAGAAAAGGAAGAACCCAAAGAAGATGAGAAATTGGGAAAACTTCAATACTCCTTGGATTATGATTTCCAGAATAACCAGGTCAGAGGGGAGAATGTTTTCTTATTCCATTACGTTGCCTGAAATTACCAAGCAGAAATTGAAGCAAGTTACTTTTTAAAACATTCTGTTGGCTGCAAGGGGAAAATGCAATTATCAAAGCTATTGATGAAATAATTTCTGAGTACAGGCAGTCCCCTACTTGCTAATTTAATGTATGGTAATTAGAATTCACAGTATTCAACTGATTACATCTAATGTATGGCACTTATAATAGGAGGCAGAATACAAATTAACTTGAAGCAGTCAGACTTATTCTGAGAGCTCCAACCACATCTCACCCCTCATAGCCTTAGCTAGGACAATCTTTCCTACACTTCCTGGCTTTAGATCCAAGCAGGGAGAGGGGCCTTTGTGTTATGCCACCATTCAAGACAAAGTTTTGAATCATAACGTATCAGTATGACAGGAATCAAAGATGGAAAATTGAAATTCATGAGTTTCAAAGGCATGCCTTGTATAATAATATCATGATATTAGGTCAAACTCTTGATGCTAATAAGATAGAAGGTCTAGAACATAAAAAGACTAAGAACTTGATTTCTAGTGCCTATGACTACTGCCCAAAAAGTGTCAAAACACTAAAGGAGGTAATGAAACAGGCATATATGCTTCAATTTCTCAAAAGCCATGAAGTGCCACCTAGATTAACAATAATATTAACTGCCTTTTATTGACTGCATTATAGAAGTAACACCAAGATAGCTGTTAGAAACCTCTCTACATAAAAAGGCCTTCCAGATTCTATAACATTGATGAATATATTCCTTTAGCTTCTTAATTGTTAAAGTAAAAAAAGCTAGACAAGAATTAGTGGAGCTGGCCAAGTTAGAGATCTGACTCTTAAGAATCCTTAGGACACAGCCTTTTTCTTCGAGAGGGGAGATTTAAAACTCTCCATTCTGTTTTGCTTCACTCCTCATTTTGGGTGAGGAGGAACTGGTAAATGTGAAGTATGTACAATTACTATTAATACCACATGTGTTCATTATTTCCAGTTTGATGAGGAATGAACCACGGATAAATCAAACTCAAAGGTTCAGCTTTGAGAACAAATGTCCAGTCAGTAATGCTGTGCGAGAGCTCTAAACCATTGCAGGAATTCGGGGGGTTATTTAAAAATTGATAGTTCAAATAATGTCTGAAATTTCACTTTCTGAAATTTCTACATTTCTCATGAAGAATGTGTTGATATGTTCTATCATATTATTATAAAAATAATTTTAGCCCTAGTTGGTTTGGCTCAGGGGATAGACTGTCACCTTGTGGGCTGAAGAGTCCCACGTTCAATTCTTGGTCAGGGCACATGCCCGGGTTGTGAGCTAGATCCCCAGTAGGAGGCATGCAGGAGGCAGCAAATCAGATTCTCTTTCATCATTGATGTTTCTCTCTCTCTCTCTCCCTCTCCCTTCCTCTCTGAAATCAATAAAATATTTTAAAATAATTATTTTATTTTATCAGCTTCATTACAATCCTACCTAGTTATTTCATAATAGATTTTAGAAAATAGCATATTGGTTAAAGATAAGTAAAGGATTTATATAGATCTGTAGATATTCCTTTTATAGTTAAGTAGGGTATTTAGGTCATTTCTATCACTTATGCTAAAATTGATCATCAGGACTTGTTTGAAAGCAAAAATTTTTTAAATATATTTTAGGGGAAGTCAAGGTCCACATATATTATCTTCACATATAATGTTTCCTGTGATTTAATCTGCCTTTTTATATGGATCCAATATTTTTCTATTAATTTATTCTATGTTAAATTTTTCAGTAGAAATCTGGTGGTATCTCATCCTGGTTAGTCATAATTTCAAAATTTCTTAGTTGACTTTCAGTACTATAAATGTCATTTTATAAAATACTATTTTAAAGAAAATAATACCACTGATTTTTTTCACTCAAAAATATGAGTGTGTTTACTGTTCCCTTTCTAGCAAACATCAACTTTAAAAGGGCATTTTATTCTAAGGAACTAGAAGATTCTGCCTGATGAAACTTTTATTATTATGTACTGATTTTCCAAATGTTCTCAACCAATCTGATTTATAAAATGATTTCTATGAGTCATGGAAGATAAAGTCTGAGGAACTTGCCACATAAGGCTGTAATCAAATATAGACATTTGTTACCCAAACTAAAAGAGAACTCTAAGGAATTCTAATTAAGATGCTTTCACGATGAAGGGAAATTTTTACTTATCTCAGACAGAAGTCGTAGGGGAGTTGAAAGAAGAAATTCCACCCCTAGCCAAAAAAATATCCAAAAATATTTAAAATATGGATGATTTGGTTTTAGGGAGTTTAGGTATATTTCTAGAGCTTTCCCTGCCCAAAAGAATTTTATTTTGCAAAAGTGAAAAAAAATATAGAATCTTGCTTATTCACATGCAATCTAAATGCATAAACTAGATACCAATTTGGCAAACCAAGACAAATTGTTTGATTTACTAAATATATCTTTATTATCTGATGTCTACTTTATTCTTTGATCATCTGTCTCTGTGTTTTGTATACCTACAATCCAATACTCTTATTGCTATTGTTATATAATGATATCACAAAGATATTGAAGCATTAAAACAACCAAAAAATCATTTAGGGCAATAATCCAGGTTAAAAAATGAGACAACTACCCAAATGCACTTAGAAACATAGTGGGTCAGATTTACAGAAAATAACTGTGACTTTTTTGGAGAGGGGTGAATTGCTTTTTTACTTCGTTGGCTTTTTCACTATGTATACACACACTTTTAATAATTATAAAATTGGTGTTTATTAAAGTACATTTCATTTCCAAAACTGAACTATCAGCCATTAAACTGTGTATACTTTTTTTGGGGGGTGGGACTATATATTTTGAACAATAATAAGAGAATTTACTTTTGTTTCCTATATGAATCTAGAGCAATCTGTTGATACAAAATGTCTGGTGTCAGAGCATCTAGAATAGTCCACTCACAGCTTTTATTTTATTTGCAAAAGTATTTAAAATGCCAGCCTGTGTTCTTATTCATAGCAAGACATAGGAATGTATCAGTAAGAAAACAGACTTGAAAAAATGCAGATATTTCTGCTGTATTTGAAAAAAACAAAACAGAAAATTAGTTACACTTACCATTAAAAGCCATATCTGTAAAGTTGTTTTCCTTTACATGAAGTTAAAATTGTAGTTCTTTGACCCAATGCTTATATTTATACACAGAGTTTAATATATAGCAATCATTTTCCTATCAGTTAAAACAAAAGTAGTCAGCAGATAAGGATAGGTCAAATATGATAAAAACTTGAAGATCTTATTTTTATCTCAAAAAAGATACCTAATTTCTAAGGAATTTCTAGTTAGTTGATCTGAGGCTTTGGTTCAGAAAAAAATTTCCTACCTTATAATTATACACTTGTGATTGTTTAACAATTTATTTCCACTTACAAATCATGCCCTAAAAGAAAAATAACGCACAAGGGCTTTTAGCAACTGGGAAGTTATTTGATTGCAACTCTTTTGCAATTATGAATTCCATACTTAACTGTAATCAGCAACCTTTTGAAAGCCTCTTTTATGCTTAAAACCAGGCTTTCTAGAGCCTGCATCTGCCATAATTGGGTTTCTGAAGTCTGTACAGCTCACTTCATTTGCCTTCTGTGCTCAGATTCATAAGAGAGAAATGTTTATTAAAAGCAAAGAGGGAGAGGGAGAGATCACAGTATCCAGCAATGTGAACAAATAAATCTTTTCCAAATCGCCCACCAATGCCTGTGTTTGCTGCGTCCCGTTGTTTATTTCAGCTGCTGGTGGGGATCATCCAGGCTGCCGAGCTGCCCGCCTTGGACATGGGCGGCACCTCTGACCCGTACGTGAAAGTGTTTCTGCTGCCCGACAAAAAGAAGAAATTTGAGACGAAAGTCCACCGAAAGACCCTCAATCCTGTCTTCAATGAGCAGTTTACTTTCAAGGTATTGTCTTACACTTATCAATTTTTCCTCAGTTGTCTTAGATAAGCAACTAAGCTCATCCTGACACATAGACAGGCGCATGACTGCTGGTTCAGAGATTTAAAGTGATTCCATTCAGAATATTGACCATTCCTATTTTCCATCCAGTGAGGATTTTGCATCCATTTAGATTTAGCCAAAGCAAGATTCAGCTTGGCCATTACAGAATATAATGCAGACTGGAATATGACTGAGAGGTCATGTCCATATATGAAAAGTGAGGTCACCTTCAAGTGTGTGCAAATAGGCTTGACATTTTCCTCTCAATAAAATAAAGTCAAAAAAAATAATGGAGTTATTTTTTTTAAGTTTCCAAGTTCCTGAACAAAGGTAAACCCTGTTGCAATCACAGGGTAAAGTAAGCTATGTCCATTGTTCAAATGGTGCAAATAGACATCTCTCTCACTGCCAACTTCCGTGTGCACAGGGGCAGACCGAGCCCTCTCAAATCATTCTTCTTACTCTTTCAACAAAAAGGTGGAGATGTTATTTTTATGCACTTATAGCATTTGTCTTTTACTCTAGGCTGTTCCTTAGTGCTCTTCATTTAGTTCAGACAAATAATAACAATGAGAGATTCTGGCCATAGGACAATTCAACAGGAAAATGTGCTCTGCAGGCCTCAGGCATCTCTGCATAGACAAGTTCTATGGTCTTGTCTAGAAGTCACACGTACAAATTATTCTCTTATGGGTTTATTGAATATGTGAAAACTATTTAGGTGCATTACTTAAAACATTTCTGAAAAAAAGAAATGTGTGTAACTTCCCAGTAGGCTGATTCAAAACCACCTTCCCTCAGAAAGCACATGCCTCGTGTCAGTGAACATCCTGGTCTGAAAGAAATGGCTGGAACTGAGGCCATGAGTCATTTTTCTAGAACTTTGTTCTCCATTTTTTAAAAGAGCAGTATCTCTATTCACTCTGAAACTTTTATAGATAAAAGTTCCTAATGTGAGTAACCCTATTAAAAATATACCTTTTTCTATGCCTAGGATAGTTAATTTACAGTAACAGTAAAACCATTTTGGAAATACTCAGCTTATGAAGAGTTAATCACTATGATCAATACACTACAGAACATAACATGAAAACAGAACGAAACAAATTGCAAATGATAATTAGAATCATTTGACTGTACGAATCTTAGGTTAGTCATTTTTAACCACAATTTACTAAGCAGACTCTTACATTAGTTGAAGTAATATTATGTGGCCTTTTGTTTTGAGTTACCTATGTCATTTATTTTTTTAATGTATTAGTAATAATTTTATTAGTACTTTGTCTAACTTCAAGAAGTTTAATTATTGAAAATTTAAAATTGCCTGTAAAATTTTATTAGGTTCCATTTTATTACAAGAAGTTTGATCAAATTATAAATCCTACCAAAGTACAATATATTTCAATACATTTAAGGAATATGCCACCATTTCTAGAGAATTGGCTAATTTATCCATTAGATATTATATATTATGCATTTTGAAATGCCATAGACAATATGATATAGAAATAGGTGCATAATAGAGTTTAAAGTAGATTGGCTTTGAAAAGTGAGTTCAAATCCACTTAACATAAACTCTACATGACCCAAACTCCTACTTGAAGGAGCTACTAATCATTCAAACAAAAACATATTAGGTGCCTGCTGTGTGCCAATACTGTGCTAAATACCTTAAATATATTCAAACAACACTCTGATGTAGGCACTACTATGTCACTATTATTCTGATAGATGAAAAACTAAGATTTATTCACTTTGCCTCAGTGCCTTCAGCTGGAAAGAGGGGACACCCAGACCCAGCCCTATCTAATCCCAGGTTTTTTGATGGATGCTACTTCAGTACAATCACACACACACACACACACACACACACACACACACACACACACCTAAAGAGATTTAGCAGATAAGATAAATTTTCAAGAGTTTATTCCTACTCTAAAATTTATTATTTCTTCTTTTGAAATTCAACTCTTTGGAATGGTTTATTTTTTTTCTACTAAGAATGGAAAAAGCATTGTGCCTAGTTCTTAACTGTAGTATTTTAATCAAATTCCAAATAATTAACAAATGGCAGAAAAAAATTGGGAAACTAAAATTTATTATACATATATAGTCCAATATTCTTCCTTCTCTTTCCCTTCTTAATATACAGAGTTAATTGAGAAATGTTTGCTGAAGCATAAGACAACCATTTACACAGATAAAATAATAGAAAATGTATGAAAATTGATCAAACCTTCAATGCAAGTCTAAACAATTTCTTAATTAGGCATTTCTATTCAGTTACTGAAGTGTATCTCACTTGGATTGCACTGCTTTCCCTGAATATTAAAAATGTTACTAATAAACCTCCCAACCCATAGCATCTGTCCCAGATATATTTGAACAGCTGGAGAATTCATCAGTTCTTGGCTTTTGCCACCACTCATCCTAAAGAGTGACATACCTAGAAATGAACTTTAAGGTCTCTATTATAATGCATCCCTGATATTCAAAACATCAATTTTTTAGTCAGCTCTTGTCAATCAGTAAATTATTTTAGGGAATAGGTGAGGCACCTTTTGAATTTCATTTAAATACTTTCAGACTTCTAGAATAGCTTTTAGTAAGTCATTAATTCATTAAAATATGACATCAAGTGGCTTGAAAGTTATCTACCTTGAATAAGTTACACTCTCACAATATAACTTAACAACAATAATGAGATAGTCTGCAAAGAAAACTTTAGATAGTCAAATTGGCTTGGTTTATTATGGTATTCATCTTGAAGTGTTTATAGCATGACTAATAGGATTCATTACCAATAATACTAACAGCTTCCAGAAGTTTGGGATAAAGTGATAAATTACTAAGGGAAGTCCCCATTTCCTCCCAAGAAATTTAAGCTGTAAGCAATTTAGTCAAATGATTCCATTTGAGAAAATACCAAAAGCATAATTATCTCCCTGATCTGTTTATTCAAAATAAATATTAAAATTAAATACTGTAAACAAGTAATGTGTTCTAAGCATTTTGTGATCAGATTTTTATCCTCATCTCTTTCCATTTAGGTGCCATATTCGGAATTGGGAGGCAAAACCCTCGTGATGGCTGTGTACGATTTTGATCGTTTCTCCAAGCATGACATCATCGGGGAATTTAAAGTCCCCATGAACACAGTGGATTTCGGTCATGTAACTGAGGAATGGCGCGATCTGCAGAGTGCTGAGAAGGAAGAGGTAAGAAAAACATTAGCATATCTAAGATGACAAACTGTACTCACCTGTTCCAATCACGTAATAACCTACTGAGAGTTGCTCTTTACCGAATGATGTGGCCGTCCAGCTGCTGACAGCTGGCAAAATAGGGTCAAGGGACGACATAACCTCATTAGAAAGTACACAGGTCTTCTGGGTGTAATTTGAAAGAAAAGAGAAAGGTTTGTATACTGAGGCTATGGACAACTCCCTGAAGACACACACACACACACACACACACACACACACACACACTTTTAAAAGCTTATCACATGTGTACTTCTTTAAAAACGACAGTAAAATATCATTCTATTCTTTGTATTTTGCCACAATCATTCTGTACTGCTACATAGGTTTTCTAGCTATTGAATAGAAATAAAATGGCACTTTTTCCTTGATTATGTCTGGATATCACAGACAGTTCATTGTTTCTCCTGAAGATATCAGAACATGATTGGTGAATCATCAAATATCATTCACAAGGGCTGATATTAAATCCATATTTTAAATGATTCACATTTTTATAGTCGTCTTCACATTGTTTCCTCTCAGTTTGAATAGTTTAACCCAGGGTTTTTCTTTTATTTAAAAGGGGAAGTTCAATATCCTTAGTGCATTTAAACTGCATAATAACCAATTCTATTGGATTATGCTATGCCTGCCTGGCACTAGCATTTTTCTGTGCTAAAGTCTCAATACGCCAATACCAGAAAGGCAAACAACTCCTAGCTTCTCTGAACTCTATAGCAATGCCTTTTGCAGTCATTTTTTGGATCCTGAGATGAGTTTATAATTACCCGAGAGATTGCCAATTGCCTCCATTATTTAGGGCCACCAAGGATTCCGTAGATGTGGTCACTTTCGGGCTACCAGGGAGGTCAGCTAGTTGCCCAGACTGTCAGAGAAACTCAGCCAAGCCCCTCACCTGGGAATCCTCTCAGCCTGAGGCTTTCTGTGGTCAATACAGTGACATGAGGTTTTAGAACAGCCTTGTGATTGCTATACAGAAATTGAATTTTTATAGTGCTCTAAAGTTCTTTGGTTGTACAAAAGGAGTCAAAATTATTGGAGTTAAGCTCTGCTTTCTTTTTGAAAGGAAATATATATAACATAACCAAATAAGTTAGTCAAAATTAGATTCTGAGATACTGACATAGATTTAGCCCTACTGTGAACGTTCAAGAGCAACCCAAGGGTAGTACTGAGTTTTTAAATTTTATGACTTTTATAAGTACCTCTTCCCAATGAGTAAACATCAACTCTAAATCGAACATCTGTATGAAAACAGAAATGTGAGCTATTTCATTGATTTTTTTATATTTCATTGAAATGTTTGATTCTGTATAAATTGCTTAGTTTGGGTGGGGTTAGCAAAGTGGGACCACAACAAATATTTATTAACTAATTGGTTATTAATTGACTGGTTTTTGGTTTGTTGGTTAAATATTAGACTACAATCTACTTGTGTCTCACAATGCCGATCTGGCCAGACTGCACGGCTCACACTATTGGCCTCCTTAGTAACTACCAAGTAGCCTGGAATTCCAACATCTAACCCCACTGGATTTCTGAAAAGTTGGTATATTCCTTGAGAGAAAGGGATGCATGCCACCAAATAATTTTTCTCTTTCAAAAATTCTTTGAATATTGGTCGAGTTTGAGGTTTGGCACTAAGCTGACAGATTTGGTTGGACTCAAGGATCCAGAATAGGCTGACTTCACCAAAGGAATCACATTCTCACGCCTTTAGCTGCTCTCTTTCTATATTTCTTCCTCTTTCTTCCCTATGACTCTTGTCACCCAATTTATTTAAAAATATTCATTTTGTGAATATCGATGAAGCCTGCAGTCTTCCTGGACCTGTAGTAGGTGTTTAAAAAAAAAAAAGTGAAAGGGTCAACACCACTTCTATTTTGTGGAGTTTAGTGTGGTCTCCTTTTTCTCCCTCATTCCAATTTCTGCCTTACTTATGGCCAGCTAGACTGGTTTCTGAATAAAGTCCTGTGTAATAAACAACTCCTGGCTTTCAATACTGACCAATCCATTTACCACCACAGAGACACTGGTTAAATCACTTAAGCTCTCTAAATTCAGTTTTTTAATCTAGAAAGGGGCCGAACATTATCTACCTTTATTTTACAGATAAAATGGGCTAGAGTATCAAGTTCCAGTATGTAATAAGTGCTCAGTAAACAAGTTTATTATTCTCTTTAACTTGTTTTACATTGCAGTATTAACTCCTCCAATTTCCTGCTATATATCTATATCTATATCTATATCTATATATATATATATATGTCTATATCATCTATATCTATATCTACTTTATTCTTTTTCTTAACACCTTTGTACTTATTGAATGTCTCTGTAAGTTTTTAATGGGAAATAATTCTATAATCACATTTTTAAACTCTGTAGTTTTTCCTCTTTACTATCTACTTAGGAATAGTAATTTTTGGTTTTAATTCTCATAACTTGACCAGTAGTGTTTTGTCTCCATGAGAGAATATGTCTATCACTTCTGCTTTGTGTAAAATTTACTAAATACTGATTTTTAAATCATATTCTGTAACCCAGTGCAAATGGAAAAAAAATTGATTGCTGAATAAAAACAAGTTAGAGCATAATTTAATTAGTATCCAAGCAGAAGGGAAGAGAAGCTACTTTAGTGCCTTAATAGAAAATCAATTTTGTAAGAAAAATTCACATTTTTAAGCCTAATTAGGAAAACATTTACTTCTTAGAAAAGCAAAGAATACATATTCAATCAAATGGCAAACGTTTTTAAGATTCCAATGGTCAGTTACCAGATACTTCTTTAGAATAAGTTAAACTCATTAGTCCTTATAGCATCTTTTTTTTTGTCAAGGATCATGAAAGAATTGATGTTATTTCGAAAACACTTAGTAGTCAGTCTGTGACTCATGCCTCCCCATAATCTGTATACAACAAATCAATGCCCTGAATGGAAATCCTTTCAGTTAACTACTGGAAGGAAAAACATG